CTCGCGGCGCCTTGCCACCATGGAGGCTGCCAACCACCTTGGTGACCTCGGCCAGGGAGATGGAAGTATCCGCCCCAACATCCTCAGCCTCTGCCTCCTGAACGGAGGACGTGACGGGGGGATTGAGGAGAACCTCGAAGTATTCCTTCCACCGCCCGACAATATCCCCAGTCGAGGTCAGCAGCTCTCCACCCGCACCATACACGGTGTTGGCAAAGAACTGCTTCCCCCTGCTGAGGCGCCGGACGGTTTGCCAGAACCTCTTCGAGGCCGACCGATAGTCATGCTCCATGGACTCTCCGAACTCCTCCCAGTCCCGGGTTTTTGCCTCTGCAACAGCCCGGGCCGCGGCACGTTTGGCCTGCCGGTACTGGACAGCTGCCTCAGGAGTCCCACGAACCATCATTGCTCGATAGGACTCCTTCTTCAGCCTGACGGCATCCCTTACTGCCGGTGTCCACCACCGGGTTCTGGGATTGCCGCCGGGACCAGCACCAGAGACCTTGCGACCACAGCTACGAGCCGCCGCATCGGCGATTGAGGCAGAGAACATGGTCCACTCGGACTCCATGTTCCCCTCCTCCGCCGGGACCTGGGAGAAACTCTCCCGGAGGTGTGAGTTGAAAGTCCGTCTGACAGGGGGCTCAGCGAGACGTTCCCAGCAGACCCTCACTATACGCTTGGGTCTGCCAGGTCTGACCGGCTTCTTCCCCTGCCAGCGGATCCAACTCACGACCAGGTGATGATCGGTTGACAGCTCCGCCCCTCTCTTTACCCGAGTGTCCGAGACACGCGGTTGAAGATCAGATGATACGACAACAAAGTCGATCATCGACCTCCGGCCTAGGGTGTCCTGGTGCCACGTGCACTGATGGACACCCTTGTGCTCGAACATGGTGTTCGTGATGGACAAACCGTGACTAGCACAGAAGTCCAACAACTGAACACCGCTCGGGTTCAGATCAGGGGGGCCGTTCTTCCCGATCACCCCTGTTGACAAAACTCTTGTCTATTCAGCTGTTATGGTCCCAGCTGGATTCGTCTGCATATCTGGCAACCTGAGTCAGGGAGAGTGGGAGAGGCTGCAGTACCACTGTAGTCCACATGTTTACACACTGCTGCTTTAAGTGTCAAAGTTGTGATTTCAAAGCTAGGCACTCCAGCTTTAAGCAACAACATGGTCAAATCGTTTCAAAATAATGTAATCCTGAAGTAAGTAATTTGCACAAACTTACTGCTTTATATATTTCATTTTCTTTCTATTCATAACAATAGAATTTTTAGCGCAAACTCAATTAGAACTGCAAAAATCCTAACTTTTTGTGGCTGTTGAGAAAGTGCCTTCATGAGCCTCTTCTGTCTACAGCATTTTACGGTCACACCTTTTATGACCCGCACAGAGGAAATGCTGACGACGCATTTTTGACGCTTTGGCTGCGCTCCCGTAACAAGCAGGTGAGGGGGGCGCGCGCTGGAGGGAAGAGCACTAAACAAAGCCGGGAACAGACGCGACAGAAAGGCGGCGGGAGGTTTTTTGGGAGGTTAATTGCGGAGTTGGGGGCACGGACACTGCTGCAGCTGCGTGTTACGTAAAGCAATCAAAGTCATTATCATCATAACGTGTCGTTGATTGGGTTTGAACTCATAATGATGTGTGTAATCTCTGTTGTTCAGCTCATTTCTGACTTAAATGCAGTGGTAAGGAAAGGTTCATTTGTATCGTACAATTCATACACAACACAACTCAAAGTGCTGAACAAAATAAGAAAGCATTAAAATCATAAATAATCACAGAACATTAAAAAGAAAGATAAAAATATAAAATCCCTCAGTTGTAGCACAGTTAAACAGAACTGTCTTTAACCTGGTTTTAAACATTGTCAGAGAGGAGGCCTGTCTCACATCTTCAGGAAGACTGTTCCAGATTTTAGCAGCATGAATCTGAAAAGCAACCTCCCCATGTTTAGTCCTGACTCTGGGCACTAACAGGAGTCCAGTCCCTGTGCTCCTCAGAGTCCCAGCAGGAGTCCAGTCCCTGTGCTCCTCAGAGTCCCAGCAGGAGTCCAGTCCCTGTGCTCCTCAGAGTCCCAGCAGGAGTCCAGTCCCTGTGCTCCTCAGAGTCCCAGGAGTCCAGTCCCTGTGCTCCCAGAGTCCCAGCAGGAGTCCAGTCCCTGTGCTCCTCAGAGTCCCAGCAGGAGTCCAGTCCCTGTGCTCCTCAGAGTCCCAGCAGGAGTCCAGTCCCTGTGCTCCTCAGAGTCCAGCAGGAGGCCAGTCCCTGTGGAGTCCCAGCAGGAGGCCAGTCCCTGTGCTCCTCAGAGTCCCAGCAGGAGGCCAGTCCCTGTGCTCCTCAGAGTCCCAGCAGCCAGTCCCTGTGCTCCTCAGAGTCCCAGCAGGAGGCCAGTCCCTGTGCTCCTCAGAGTCCCAGCAGGAGGCCAGTCCCTGTGCTCCTCAGAGTCCCAGCAGGAGTCCAGTCCCTGTGCTCCTCAGAGTCCCAGCAGGAGTCCAGTCCCTGTGCTCCTCAGAGTCCCAGCAGGAGGCCAGTCCCTGTGCTCCTCAGAGTCTGGGCAAACTACTGTTTGGTTTCATGAATTCTACATTTTGTTTGTTACAACCGAATCGTCCAATTGGTCACTTGCAGCAAAACTTCCTCCCTGAGCACTTCCCTATCCCCTATTGGGCTTCATTGAGATGAGGAGGTGAGCATTGTCTGTCTATAAACAGACCATGTTCGACGGACTTCTTGTATTCTTATAGTCCTGCCGTTTGATCTGCACTCTGCCCCTCTACGCAAGGTCAGGCCTCATCAAAATGGGAAGTTTCTTTTGTCATTGTAGAAATAGGAAAATATTTGTATTTGACAGAGTGGCTTAACACGACCAGGACAAGGCAAGTTTATTTGTATAGACTAGTCAGACATTGTATGTACACAGACACGGGGAGAACATGCAAACTCCACTCAGTAAGGCCCTGTTCAGATACAGTACAAAATCTCATACACACACACACACACACACCACACACACACACACACACACACACACACACACACACACACACACACACACAGACAGAGACAGACACAGACCAGACGTCTCGTTTGCTACATAGTTACAGTGCCTTGCGAAAGTATTCGGCCCCCTTGAACCTTTCAACATTTTGCCACATTTCACGCTTCAAACATAAAGATATATAAATAAAAAAAATTGTCAAGAATCAACAACAAGTGGGACACAATCGTGAAGTGGAACGAAATTTATTGGATAATTTAAACTTTTTTAACAAATAAAAAACTGAAAAGTGGGGCGTGCAATATTGCGCTAATACTTTGTAGCGCCACCTTTCGCTGCAATTACAGCTGCAAGTCGCTTGGGGTATGTCTCTATCAGTTTTGCACATCGAGAGACTGGAATTCTTTCCCATTCTTCCTTGCAAAACAGCTGGAGCTCAGTGAGGTTGGATGGAGAGCGTTTGTGAACAGCAGTCTTCAGCTCTTTCCACAGATTCTCGATTGGATTCAGGTCTGGACTTTGACTTGGCGATTCTAACACCTGGATACGTCTATTTGTGAACCATTCCATTGTAGATTTGGCTTTATGTTTTGGATCATTGTCCTGTTGGAAGATAAATCTCCGTCCCAGTCTCAGGTCTTTTGCAGACTCCAACAGGTTTTCTTTCAGAATGGTCCTGTATTTGGCTCCATCCATCTTCCCATCAATTTTAGCCATCTTCCCTGTCCCTGCTGAAGAAAAGCAGGCCCAAAGCATGATGCTGCCACCACCATGTTTGACAGTGGGGATGGTGTGTTCAGGGTGATGAGCTGTGTTGCTTTTACGCCAAACATATCGTTTTGCATTGTGGCCAAAAAGTTTGATTTTGGTTTCATCTGACCAGAGCACCTTCTTCCACATGTTTGGTGTGTCTCCCAGGTGGCTTGTGGCAAACTTTAAACCAGACTTTTTATGGATATCTTTGAGAAATGGCTTTCTTCTTGCCACTCTTCCATAAAGGCCAGATTTGTGCAGTGCACGACTGATTGTTGTCCTATGGACAGACTCTCCCACCTCAGCTGTAGTTATCTGCAGTTCATCCAGAGTGATCATGGGCCTCTTGGCTGCATCTCTGATCAGTCTTCTCCTTGTTTGAGATGAAAGTTTGGAGGGACGGCCGGGTCTTGGTAGATTTGCAGTGGTCTGATACTCCTTCCATTTCAATATAACTGCTTGCACAGTGCTCCTTGAGATGTTTAAAGCTTGGGAAATCTTTTTGTATCCAAATCCGGCTTTAAACTTCTCCACAACAGTATCTGGGACCTGCCTGGTGTGTTCCTTTGTCTTCATGGTTCTCTCTGCGCTTTAAACAGAACCCTGAGACTATCAAAGAGCAGGTGCATTTATACGGAGACTTGATTACACACAGGTGCATTCTATTTATCATCATCAGTCATTTAGGACAACATTGGATCATTCAAAGATCCTCACTGAACTTCTGGACTGAGTTTGCTGCACTGAAAGTAAAGGGGCCGAATAATATTGCACGCCCTACTTTTCAGTTTTTTATTTGTTAAAAAAGTTTAAATTATCCAATACATTTTGTTCCACTTCACGATTGTGTCCCACTTGTTGTTGATTCATGACAAAAAAATAAAATTGTATATCTTTATGTTTGAAGCCTGAAATGGGGCAAAATGTTGAAAGGTTCAAGGGGGCCGAATACTTTCGCAAGGCACTGTACATATATTTGTCTGTGTTAATTCATACATTTTAACAAACTGAGTTCCCTTCGCAGTGCGTTGGTCTCTGCTCCTCACCTCTCTGCTCCTCACCTCTCTGCTCCTCACGTCTCTGCTCCTCACGTCTCTGCTCCTCACGTCTCTGCTCCTCACCTCTCTGCTCCTCACGTCTCTGCTCCTCACGTCTCTGCTCCTCACGTCTCTGCTCCTCACCTCTCTGCTCCTCACGTCTCTGCTCCTCACCTCTCTGCTCCTCACGTCTCTGCTCCTCATGTCTCTGCTCCTCACGTCTCTGCTCCTCACGTCTCTGCTCCTCACGTCTCTGCTCCTCACGTCTCTGCTCCTCACGTCTCTGCTCCTCACGTCTCTGCTACTCACGTCTCTGCTCCTCACGTCTCTGCTCCTCACGTCTCTGCTCCTCACCTCTCTGCTCCTCACCTCTCTGCTCCTCACCTCTCTGCTCCTCACGTCTCTGCTCCTCACCTCTCTGCTCCTCACGTCTCTGCTCCTCACGTCTCTGCTCCTCACGTCTCTGCTCCTCACCTCTCTGCTCCTCACGTCTCTGCTCCTCACCTCTCTGCTCCTCACCTCTCTGCTCCTCACCTCTCTGCTCCTCACCTCTCTGCTCCTCACGTCTCTGCTCCTCACGTCTCTGCTCCTCACGTCTCTGCTCCTCACGTCTCTGCTCCTCACGTCTCTGCTCCTCACGGCGTCTCCAGCGTTGACAGAACTCATCTCCCGGTGAACATGAAAGTTCAGAAGTTGAAACGCTGCTCCTTTAGTTTGAGGATCCGGAGCACAGACCTGTCACCGGGAGATTTGAGTGTCGCTGCAGCTCAGAGACAGCCAGAGCAGACAGCCAGAGCAGACAGCCAGAGCAGACAGCCAGAGCAGACAGCCAGAGCAGACAGCCAGAGCAGACAGCCAGAGCAGACAGCCAGAGCAGACAGCCAGAGCAGACAGCCAGAGCAGACAGCCAGAGCAGACAGCCAGAGCAGACAGCCAGAGCAGACAGCCAGAGCAGACAGCCAGAGCAGACAGCCAGAGCAGACAGCCAGAGCAGACAGCCAGAGCAGACAGCCAGAGCAGACAGCCAGAGCAGACAGCCAGAGCAGACAGCCAGAGCAGACAGCCAGAGCAGACAGCCAGAGCAGACAGCCAGAGCAGACAGCCAGAGCAGACAGCCAGAGCAGACAGCCAGAGCAGACAGCCAGAGCAGACAGCCAGAGCAGACAGCCAGAGCAGACAGCCAGAGCAGACAGCCAGAGCAGACAGCCAGAGCAGACAGCCAGAGCAGACAGCCAGAGCAGACAGCCAGAGCAGACAGCCAGAGCAGACAGCCAGAGCAGACAGCCAGAGCAGACAGCCAGAGCAGACAGCCAGAGCAGACAGCCAGAGCAGACAGCCAGAGCAGACAGCCAGAGCAGACAGCCAGAGCAGACAGCCAGAGCAGACAGCCAGAGCAGACAGCCAGAGCAGACAGCCAGAGCAGACAGCCAGAGCAGACAGCCACACTCTAAAAAACAAGGACATCGGGAATATGTACAGTATGCTAATGTATTTAATCAGAACATTTTTACTTTTATGAGTTTTCAATCGGTCTGTATTTTTGATTGTCCTACACAAGGAAACACTAAGTAGTTATACATATAAATATATAACAACAGGGCATTAAAGTTTTCAAAACAGACACAAGGGATTTGAATAAATAAAATAAATAACCACGGTGCATTAAAAAGACTAAAAATGCAGTCCTTCAGTTGTATGCACAGGCCAGGCTTACATTTTCAGGAAGATCTTACCTGCAAAAATGTGAAACACTGCTTCCCCATGTTTAGTCCTGACTCTGGGCACCAGTCCCTGTGCTCCTCAGAGTCCCAGCAGGAGGCCAGTCCCTGTGCTCCTCAGAGTCCCAGCAGGAGGCCAGTCCCTGTGCTCCTCAGAGTCCCAGCAGGAGGCTAGTCCCTGTGCTCCTCCGAGTCCCAGCAGGAGGCTAGTCCCTGTGCTCCTCAGAGTCCCAGCAAGAGGCCAGTCCCTGTGCTCCTCAGAGTCCCAGCAGGAGGCCAGTCCCTGTGCTCCTCAGAGTCCCAGCAGGAGGCTAGTCCCTGTGCTCCTCAGAGTCCCAGCAGGAGGCTAGTCCCTGTGCTCCTCCGAGTCCCAGCAGGAGGCTAGTCCCTGTGCTCCTCAGAGTCCCAGCAGGAGGCTAGTCCCTGTGCTCCTCAGAGTCCCAGCAAGAGGCCAGTCCCTGTGCTCCTCAGAGTCCCAGCAGGAGTCCAGTCCCTGTGCTCCTCAGAGTCCCAGCAAGAGGCCAGTCCCTGTGCTCCTCAGAGTCCCAGCAGGAGGCCAGTCCCTGTGCTCCTCAGAGTCCCAGCAGGAGTCCAGTCCCTGTGCTCCTCAGAGTCCCAGCAGGAGGCCAGTCCCTGTGCTCCTCAGAGTCCCAGCAGGAGGCCAGTCCCTGTGCTCCTCAGAGTCCCAGCAGGAGGCCAGTCCCTGTGCTCTTCAGAGTCCCAACAGGAGTCCAGTCCCTGTGCTCCTCAGAGTCCCAGCTGGAGGCTAGTCCCTGTGCTCCTCAGAGTACCATCAAGAGGCCAGTCCCTCTTGATGGTACTCCTCCTGGTTCTAGTCAGGACTGGTGCTGCACCCTTTTGAACATAGCGACAGATTTTCCGATGGATTTGATTTTTGGAAGTCTAAATTAATGGTATAGTTTCCCAAACCACTAAAATCTATAACATGTGCACACGCCTGAGCAAACAGTGGTTACTCTCACATTAAGCCTGTACACACTGAGAAACGTGTGTGTGTGTGTGTGTGTGTGTGTGTGGGGGTGTGTGTGTGTGTCTGCGCGTGCGTGTGTGTGTGTGTGTGTCTGCGCGTGCGTGTGTGTGTGTGTGGGGGGGGTGTACCTGCGTGTGTGTGTCTGCGCGTGCGTGTGTGTGTTTGTGTGTGTGGGGGGGGGGGTGTACCTGCGTGTGTGTGTGTGTGTGTGGGGGGGGTGTACCTGCGTGTGTGTGTCTGCGCGTGCGTGTGTGTGTGTGTGTCTGCGCGTGCGTGTGTGTGTGTGGGGGGGGGGTGTACCTGCGTGTGTGTGTCTGCGCGTGTGTGTGTGGGGGGGGTGTACCTGCGTTGTGTGTGTGGGGGGGGTGTACCTGCGTGTGTGTGTGTGTGTGTGTGGGGGGGGTGTACCTGTGTGTGTGTGTGTGGGGGGGGGGTGTGTGTGTGTGTGTGTGTGGGGGGGGTGTACCTGCGTGTGTGGTGTGTGTGTGTGTGTGTGTGGTGGGGGGGGGGTGTACCTGCGTGTGTGTGTGTGTGTGTGGGGGGGGGGTGTACCTGCGTGTGTGTGTGTGTGTGGGGGGGGTGTGCGTGTGCTGTGTGTGTGTGTGTGTGTGGGGGGGGGTGTACCTGCGTGTGTATGTCTGCGCGTGTGTGTGTGTGTGTGTGTGGGGGGGGTGTACCTGCGTGTGTGTGTGTGTGTGTGTGGGGGGGGGTGTACCTGCGTGTGTGTGTCTGCGCGTGCGTGTGTGTGTGTTTGTGTGTGGGGGGGTGTACCTGCGTGTGTGTGTGTCTGCGCGTGCGTGTGTGTGTGTGTGTGGGGGGGGGTGTACCTGCGTGTGTGTGTGTGGTGTGTGGGGGGGTGTACCTGCGTGTGTGTGTGTGTGTCTAAACCATGAGTGTCAAAGTCGAGGTCCGGCCCGCAAATACAATTCTCTCGGTCACTGGGATGATATTTGATTTGTTTTAGAATCGGCCGCACAGAGACTCAAGAAAATATTGGATTATTAATTTAATCATTAAATAAAATACAGTCCACTGTGTTAGGTCTTGGTTCAACAGGTTTTATGCATCATTTTAATATGTTTTAATAAACATTGAACCAGTCCGGCCCTCGGATTGTAGAACATTTGTTGTTTTGGCCTCTGATGTATTTGACTTTGACCTGATCTAAACAGATTAAGGCTGAAGACTGTTTGTTTTACTGGAAATGGACACTCACTCGATTAAAAGTAGACTACAGGTGGAAACTAACATTTTTGCCAAAACCTGGAACATCTTTTTATAAGACCAATGTTTCATGTGTGTTTCCCCTGATGGCCTAAATAAATCCAATTCAATTCAAAACCCAGCTGTACTCTCCTGGTCACATAAAGATCATTAAAAAAGAGGTAGTTGTATTGTTGTGTGTTTTGGAAAGACAGAAAGTGTTTTGCTAATTCATTTGGAAGCAAACAGAACACTCTCTGGTCTCTGAAAGTGCTGGAAACACTTCAAAAATCATTGTGGGGAATATGTGATGATTGTTAAAAAGAAATTGGGAAACACCAGAAGTGGATTAAATCACTGGTTTTACCCACTTCCATTCTGAGACCACTGCAAAAATCAAGTTGTAGCTTCCTCTTTTTTGCAAGATTGTGAAATATTTGGTTTTGAATTGTTCTGTCACTTTGATCATTCTGAAACCCACGGACAGGCAACACAATGTGACTGTCCGTGGGTGGGACCAAAACCTGAACTTTTGACAATCTAAAAAGGGGAAGATCCTGAGATGCAGAGGTCCCGGGGCCTCGGCCGGTGACAGGGACGGAGGAAGTCGAACACGTGGCTCCAGGAAGTGAGCAATGGACACACAAACAAATATGTACTCTTGAAAGTCAATGAGGATGAGTTACACTGACGCTGGCATTTTGATCTTAAGAAATAAAAGCTGCTTTTCAAACTTGGAGTAGTCGAAGAGTTGACAGGCCCATCACCGAAACATAATGCAAGAATCCATCCTTGAGCAAAAACATGGATTATTGAAAACACAGGTTCACAATCCTCCTGTGACTAAGGCTCGCTGAGGTCCTTTTGACGGACTGCTTCCTTCTGATTATTGAACTTTCAGCTCAACACAAACTCACAGAGTAACGTGTAACCCAGGTAGAAAACCCTGCGAGGTTTTTCCCTTCTTAGAAGAAATCCAAAAAGTATTATATGAATTATTGTATTAAGCATTGTAATAATCGGTACAATATTAAATTGAATGCATCTCCGTGTCACGTGACGGTGCGCTATGCTCTCATTGGCTTATATGCCGGCAGTAGCACACACACCGGTAATGCCAGGTTGAAGCTGCAGGAGCCGAGGACTGGGTCCATACTACCGCTCGGAGCGAGTAGGCAGAAGTTTGTTGTTAGCATGTTAGCCTCTATTGTATTGAGCTAACGCTAATGCTAATCGGAGGCGATCGCTTTTAGAGTCAATCCCAGCACTTTTCTCAAATGTTAAACAATGTCATGCGGTTCTGTGGATGTGTAGTGTGTTGTGTGTGTGTAACTCCTAAAGGGCTGTTCTGTGGATGTGTAGTGTGTTGTGTGTGTGTAACTCCTAAAGGGCTGTTCTGTGGATGCACTTCTTTGCACTTTAAGCACCAGTACTGCTCTGGTGTTTATCAATCAATAGACACTATTTTAAAAGTTTTATATCGATGTATTTGACAAATACAGATAATTGGAAGCACTGATTATTTAGTTTGTGTGATATAGATGCTGATTATGTAAAGATTATGTCTTTGAATTACTGGATTGGTTGATACTTTGCACATGATTTATTGTTGGTCCTGTTGTATACACAGGCCAGGTCAGAGCTAGAGACCTGAACCATTGAAGTGAATTATCTCAACTCCACTGGACTCTCCACAAGGGGTCCACACTGTCCTCTTGGGACTCAGGAGTCAGAGGACCTTCACCTGCTCTGAGCAGGACGGGTATGGCTCCTGCAGCCGCCTTCTTTCATTTTTATTACCTCGAGCTCCTCCTCGGGTGCCTCGGTCCACATTTGTTCCGCTTGCGCTGTGTGGAATATTTTGCCCTCAAGGAACTAAGTACTGAATGGACTATTGGAATACCGTGAATATCGTGAGACTCTTGGAACTGAACTTTGTACATATTGTACAGCCATTCACTTGGGTTGGGTTGTGGGGTAAATGTTGTCTCTGTGTCCTTGTCTTATATGTGTGCAATATATGGTACCAACAAAACCCAAAATACTGTCTCGCGTACGCTTCACTCACTCCCAGAGTCTTTTCTGATCTAGTCCAATTGATGTTCTCTGGCTGCAAATTCTAAGTGAGCCTAGTTAACCCAGGGACCTGTTACAGAACGTCTGGTACTTTCAGTGGTTTCACACTTAGACAAACTGTTACTCACGCTCTTTCTGCAGGTCGATTGAATTGATTTGTTGGAATATTTTGCTTTTTCCAGAAGTGTAATTACTTAACTTCAAAATATAGTTGTAGGATTCTTCTTCTTCATATTTTGTCTGACTTCATAATGATAATAAAAATGCATTGGTTTTATACAGTGCTTTTTTGGACACTCAAAGACTTTACATGTCATTATTCTTTCTCTCCAAACACGGTGGTGATAAACTACTGTAGCCACAGCTGCCCTGGGGCACACTGACAGAAGCGAGGCAACCAGTCTGTGCCATTGGCCCCTCCCACCACCACCAACCATTCACACACACACCAGACTCATTCTAATGTGGGGGAAGTGTCTTGCCCAAGGACACAACGACAGCAGACATCAGTGGGAGTTGATGGAGAAAGTCTCGTGGTGGGCTCAAACCCACAACCTTCAGGCTCACAGGCCAATGCTCTACAACTGAACCACTGTCGCCCTAACACTCACACCTCGCTCATACTTCATGGGGGAGCCTCCATAGTTTCCACTGCATCACACCTCACTCACTCTCCTCCATGGACCAGCTTTTCTGACGTCTCTCAAATCTTGCACATACTGAAACCATAACCGGAGAAGCGTCGGTTCTGATCCGTCTGCGTCTCTCCTCCGCTCACATGACTGCACTTCACAGCTGAACGAGGCTCTCCAGACACTCGCCGTCGCTTCCAACCCGGATCCGTGCGTTCCCAAATGCCGCTGTGACTTTGGTAGAACGATCAGTCGCGCTCCAGAGGCCTCAGAACAGAGAGAGACCTGGCCCTCTCCAGTACTTAACGCGATTTTCACTGTGACATTTGAATGTTTGTGATTGGTGGCAGGATAGGGGGAGAGAGAGGCGCATGAGTCGAGCTCCTCCGTCACTGTCAGAGACTTCTAAAGCGTGGCGTTTTAACACTGAACGTAATGGAGAGTGAAGCTCCGGTGAACGCAGTCATTCCACTTTCCTGTGGTTTGCATGAAAATGTTGCAGTTGTTGTGTTCCAGAGACAAGTCCAGTTGTGAGCTGAGACTACGACATTGGATTGGCTGTTTCCATGTTCCCCATTTTGGCCATTCACTAAAATCTAAAAAAAATATCAGAAATTCATACAGGGTTTTTGAGTCCTTTCCAATGCAGGAGGGTCTAATAACTGTGGTGATGATTGCTTCTGTGTGTTTGTTATTATTTCTTGGATTTTCTTTTTTTTTGTGATATTTTGAACCTGCACTATACATGTTTTGCATTTATCAATATAACAGACAAAGAACTAGAACTTTGACCTGTAAACACAGCCCAGAAACCCATTTACTCCAATGGACAGACGTGTATTTGTCAACAACAGAAACATGTTCAAGCGTTGGTCTTTGGACCTAATGGTCGTGGGTTCGATCCCACCATGACCCATGTCATCTGCTCCCACTGATGTCTGCTGTCGTTGTGTCCCTGGGCAAGACACTTAACCCCACTTTGCCTGAAGCCCCTGCTGAAAGATCAAGGCCATATCTGTGTTGAAGGAGCAGCCATCTTCCTGTGGACCCACCCCCTGCAGAGGATCAGAGAGAGACTGGTGCTGTGTGAATCGGGTGCAGCTCTGAATGCCGCACCCCTGACCCAGAAATGGATAATTAAGGGATGAAAATGAATGAATGAAGAAACATGTTCATTAAACCACATCATTTCCAAACGCTCTACAATGACATACATTGAGTCACGGCTCTGGCAGAATCCTCTCTTTGTCCCAGTCCTGTTATTGTGTCCATGATTAACCTTTGCTCACTTTCCTATACCATTTTCTCTCAGCCTCGCACTTCTCTGCATGTGGGTGGAGTGGAGACGGCTCTAATCTGCAGAGGCCACCATAATTTCAACAAGATGATTTGACTGCACGCTGCATTTGGGGTTCATTGGAGGTGATTTGCATTTTTCCTGTTTTAAAAAACGTCTTGTTTGCTTCGTTCAGAGCTTTTATCACTGCTTAAAGTCTGACCCGAATTGAGGACTCCTCCTGCTAAAGAGATCACAGGGACAAAAGCAAATGCATGAAAGGTCAGTGCGGCTTTTGATCGACTTCTTTTGACATTTCTTTTGCAAAAGCAGAGACGGCAACAACACAATGTATGAACGTCTTTCAAGTACAGTGTATTCAGAGGCAAAGAAGTTGAATTGGCTTTCAGAATGTACCACTCTGTCCTTGAGCGATAGATTGAGGATCAGTCTTTTCTTCTCATACCTACGATGTTGAGGCTACGGCTAACGTTTACTTTAGTGCTGTCAAATGTTAAAATAGTGAATTGTGGTTAGTCATATTAGTGTCATAGTTTACTCAGGATTCATTGCAATTAAAACCCTGATGCTTTCTTTGAGTCAAAAGGTGATTAAAAGTTGAAAAAATATATCCTAAAATGGGGTATAAAAGGGTGTGACACAGGGCTGGTCAAGTTAGGAAAAAAAAACATAAAAATTCAGTTAAAAAATAATAATTTAGGTTTGTTTTTAATCACTTTGGTGGGTTAATTTGACAGAGGTGACTGTTTTTTGGAGGAGTTTAGTGAGTCCGTGAGGGGGGAGAGTTCCAGAGGTGAGGGGGAGAGAGTTCCAGAGGTGAGGGGGGAGAGAGTTCCAGAGGTGAGGGGGAGAGTGTTCCAGAGGTGAGGGGGAGAGAGTTCCAGAGGTGAGGGGGGAGAGAGTTCCAGAGTGAGGGGGAGAGAGTTCCAGAGGTGAGGGGGGAGAGAGTTCCAGAGGTGAGGGGGGAGAGTGTTCCAGAGGTGAGGGGGGAGAGAGTTCCAGAGGTGAGGGGGAGAGAGTTCCAGAGGTGAGGGGGGAGAGGAGGAGAGTGTTCCAGAGGTCCAGAGGTGAGGGGAGAGAGTTCCAGAGGTGAGGGGGAGAGAGTTCCAGAGGTGAGGGGGGAGAGTGTTCCAGAGGTGAGGGGGAGAGTGTTCCAGAGGTGAGGGGGAGAGTGTTCCAGAGGTGAGGGGGGAGAGAGTTCCAGAGGTGAGGGGGAGAGAGTGTTCCAGAGGTGAGGGGGAGAGAGTTCCAGAGGTGAGGGGGGAGAGAGTTCCAGAGGTGAGGGAGGAGAGTGTTCCAGAGGTGAGGGGGGAGAGAGTTCCAGAGGTGAGGGGGAGAGAGTTCCAGAGGTGAGGGGGGAGAGTGTTCCAGAGGTGAGGGGGGAGAGAGTTCCAGAGGTGAGGGGGGAGAGAGTTCCAGAGGTGAGGGGGAGAGAGTTCCAGAGGTGAGGGAGGAGAGTGTTCCAGAGGTGAGGGGGGGAGAGAGTTCCAGAGGTGAGGGGGGAGAGTGTTCCAGAGGTGAGGGGGGAGAGTGTTCCAGAGGGGGGGGAGAGAGAGTTCCAGAGGTGAGGGGGGAGAGTTCCAGAGGTGAGGGAGGGGGAGAGTGTTCCAGAGGTGAGGGGGGGAGAGAGTTCCAGAGGTGAGGGGGGAGAGTGTTCCAGAGGTGAGGGGGAGAGTGTTCCAGAGGTGAGGGGGGGGGGGGAGAGTGTTCCAGAGGTGAGGGGGGAGAGTGTTCCAGAGGTGAGGGGGGAGAGTTCCAGAGGTGAGGGGGGAGAGTTCCAGAGGTGAGGTAGGAGAGAGTTCCAGAGGTGAGGGGGGAGAGAGTTCCAGAGGTGAGGGAGGAGAGAGTTCCAGAGGTGAGGTAGGAGAGAGTTCCAGAGGTGAGGGGGGAGAGAGTTCCAGAGGTGAGGGAGGAGAGTGTTCCAGAGGTGAGGGGGGAGAGTTCCAGAGGTGAGGTAGGAGAGAGTTCCAGAGGTGAGGGAGGGAGTGTTCCAGAGGTGAGGGGGGAGAGAGTTCCAGAGGTGAGGGGGGAGAGAGTTCCAGAGGTGAGGGAGGAGAGTGTTCCAGAGGTGAGGGGGAGAGAGTTCCAGAGGTGAGGGGGAGAGAGTTCCAGAGGTGAGGGGGGAGAGTGTTCCAGAGGTGAGGGAGGAGAGAGTTCCAGAGGTGAGGGAGGAGAGTGTTCCAGAGGTGAGGGGGGAGAGAGTTCCAGAGGTGAGGGGGGAGAGAGTTCCAGAGGTGAGGGAGGAGAGTGTTCCAGAGGTGAGGGGGAGAGAGTTCCAGAGGTGAGGGGGAGAGAGTTCCAGAGGTGAGGGGGGAGAGAGTTCCAGAGGTGAGGGGGGAGAGTGTTCCAGAGGTGAGGGGGGAGAGTTCCAGAGGTGAGGGGGAGAGTTCCAGAGGTGAGGGGGGAGAGAGTTCCAGAGGTGAGGGAGGAGAGTGTTCCAGAGGTGAGGGGGAGAGAGTTCCAGAGGTGAGGGGGGAGAGTGTTCCAGAGGTGAGGGGGAGAGAGTTCCAGAGGTGAGGGGGGAGAGTTCCAGAGGTGAGGGGGGAGAGTGAGTTCCAGAGGTGAGGGGGGAGAGTTCCAGAGGTGAGGGGGGAGAGTGTTCCAGAGGTGAGGGAGGAGAGAGTTCCAGAGGTGAGGGAGGAGAGAGTTCCAGAGGTGAGGGGGAGAGAGTTCCAGAGGTGAGGGAGGAGAGTGTTCCAGAGGTGAGGGGGGAGAGTTCCAGAGGTGAGGGAGGAGAGAGTTCCAGAGGTGAGGGAGGAGAGAGTTCCAGAGGTGAGGGGGGAGAGAGTTCCAGAGGTGAGGGGGAGAGAGTTCCAGAGGTGAGGGGGAGAGAGTTCCAGAGGTGAGGGGGGAGAGAGTTCCAGAGGTGAGGGAGGAGAGTGTTCCAGAGGTGAGGGGGGAGAGTTCCAGAGGTGAGGGGGGAGAGAGTGTTCCAGAGGTGAGGGAGGAGAGAGTTCCAGAGGTGAGGGAGGAGAGAGTTCCAGAGGTGAGGGGGGAGAGAGTTCCAGAGGTGAGGTAGGAGAGAGTTCCAGAGGTGAGGTAGGAGAGAGTTCCAGAGGTGAGGTAGGAGAGAGTTCCAGAGGTGAGGTAGGAGAGAGTTCCAGAGAGTGGGAGCAGAGATGGCGAAAGCTCGGTCCCCCAGGGTTCGGTGCTTGGGTTTGACAGTGGGAGTGAGGGGAGTCTGCAGATGGGAGTCAACTGTAGGGCTGTAGAAGTTCAGTGAGGTCTGCAGGAGGTCATGGGGGGCTCTGTAGGTGAGGAGGAGGAGGAGGAGGATGTTGAAATGGATGCTGTTTGACGGGAGCCAGTGGAGTCTAGAAGGACAGGGGTGATGTGTTCTCTGGAGCGGGTCTGAGTGATGAGAGTGTTTGATGTACAATGGACTCCTGATAAATAAGCACTCACCTAAAAGTCGATATGTGGCAGCTACTGTGGCAGCTACTGGGGCAGCTACTGTGGCAGCTACCCTGTCTGTAGATTCAGTTCCATCCATCCATCCATCCATTTTCTACCCTTAAATCCATTTCTGGGTCAGGGGGGTGGCAGTCAGAGATGCCACCCAAGTCTCATAGCACTAGCCCCTCACTGACCCTCTGCAGGTGGTGAGTCCACAGGAGGACGGCTGCTCTCTGAGTGTGAGCATAGCCTTGATCTTTCAGTGGGGGCTTTGGGCAAAGTGGGGTTAAGTGTCTTGCCCAAGTACACAACGACAGCAGTCATCAGTGGGAGTCGGTGGAGAAGGTGCAGAGGTGGGAATTGAACCCACGACCTTCTGGGCTTAAGGCCAATGCTCTACCAACTGAGCTACTGTCGCCCCAGTTCCTCGTTCTGAATTCTCCCAAAGGCATTAACACATCTATGTCCTCTCTGGTTTGTTCTCAGGGTGTGTTTTCAGTCTGGATTGGATCTTGTTCCTTATTTACATGCTTTTAACCACACATATTCCAACGTCTGTCTGGTGCAGCGGCTCCAGGGACCTCAGCCTGGATCCACACAGCCGCATATTAAAGCCTGTGATTGACAAGTAAATGAACAAATCGATAAAACGCGTTGTACCATGAGCTCGGAAGCGTTCACATGTTTGCCGGGTGTAACGCCGTGTGTGCGTAAACACGTGGGCGGGTGTTAGGGAAAGCTCACGGAAAAGTGTCTCAGTGTGTGTTTGTGGATGTGTGATGGGAGAGAGGAGTGATTGACAAGTTTGATGTTGTCGGTGTGCGGAGGCGGCGGGATTTGAGGCATCGGAAAATATCGGCTCTACCAATCTCCGAGATTAGTGCATCCCACTAATAGAAGTTGTTCATTAGTGTCTACAATGGCCTGGTCTTATCATACGTACTAAAGTCTGGATTTGTAAGATTGAATCTGAGTTTACTGTCATGTATATAATGCACCTGTGAGAGAGACATTTAGCATGTAGCCTAGCTTTAGCATGTAGCCTAGCTTTAGCATTAGCCTAGCTTTAGCCATCTCCTTTGCCACTAACGGAGCCCGTGGGGAGTAGAGCCACAACATCTTTGCTTCAACAACATTTACTAAACATTCCTCTTGCTCCGGCTTCAGTTTCTTGATATTTGGATTGAACCAGAACAGATTATTTTACTATCGCATTCTCCGACAAACTACAACCAGCAAATTCAGCAAAAACTCTTGACAACACCGACACCGACCTACAACACCCGCCTCCCCCGCTCTCTGATTGGTCGGAGGAGATTCAACCGAGGAAACTGCGGCCACTAGGATCAGACCCAGACGTACATGTAGGAAATGATCATGGACCAGAGTTTACACATGGTAAGACCAGACGTACATGTAGGAAATGATCATGGACCAGAGATTACATATGGTAAGACCAGACGTACATGTAGGAGATGACCATGGACCAGAGTTTACACATGGTAAGACCAGACGTACATGTAGGAGATGACCATGGACCAGAGTTTACACATGGTAAGACCAGACGTACATGTAGGAGATGACCATGGACCAGAGTTTACACATGGTAAGACCAGACGTACATGTAGGAGATGACCATGGACCAGAGTTTACACATGGTAAGACCAGACGTACATGTAGGAGATGATCATGGACCAGAGTTTACACATGGTAAGACCAGACGTACATGTAGGAAATGATCATGGACCAGAGTTTACACATGGTAAGACCAGACGTACATGTAGGAAATGATCATGGACCAGAGTTTACACATGGTAAGACCAGACGTACATGTAGGAAATGATCATGGACCAGAGTTTACACATGGTAAGACCAGAGTTTACACATGGTAAGACCAGGTTAAGTCCCAGAGGTGAAGCAAACATGTTGAAATAGATTATTCTGTTGATAATCACAATTGCAAATAATCATTGAAAATGTTTAAGGCGTTATTGTATTTATGATCGATTGAACACTGCCACACCACAAGCATTACTTTACATACATGCATGCAAATCCCGTCAGACCTCAGGCTAAGCAGGGCAGGGCCTAGTTAGTACTTTGATGGGAGACCTCCAGGTGCCACAGTGGGGCGGCTGCGGCTGGAAAGTGCCAAACTGTGGTTTAGAATATAACAGACTCACATTAGAATGAGTCTGGTGTGTGTGTGAATGGTTGGTGGTGGTGGGAGGGGCTGATGGTACAGACTGGTTGCCTCGCTTCTGTCAGTGTGCCCCAGGACAGCTGTGGCTACAATAGTAGTTTATCACCACAATGGATGGAGTGAAAGAAAAGTATATGATGGATTTTTAGACTTTTGTTTGGTTTGTTTGATCATGTGTTTGAGTGAGTCATTTATTTTTTGACAACAACCTGCTCTGGGACTACAGGTGTAAATTAGCCTGTGTGCTACACCAGTGTCTCTCCTATGACTCAGTCTCAATGATTATTTGTTTTACACAGCCCCTGTTTCTATGCCAAGCTAAACTTACACATCCGACCATATGGTGCGGAAGGAATTACAAGATTAAAGTCCGTCCGGAGTCCTCTGCAGTGGTCTGTGCTCCTGCGGTGATGGACGCAGACATAGATGAGTTTTCAGATGTTGAGTAGGCGTTTGGACGTGTGCCAGCCTTCTACATGCTTCTTCTTATTCCTTCACCTCTCTGAGCAATGGACAAAACAACTTTTCTCTCAGATATTTCAAATAATCATTGCTCCGTCGTCAAGGATGGCAGGCCAAGGCTTGTGCTGACGGCAAGACGAAGCACCGAAACTGTTAACCAATGGTTTTAGGCAACGCACAAAGAAAGGCCTTTTATGAGACGGATTCAAGAATTCCTCTTTCATTGGTAACTTTCAACAAATACAGTGTTGAAGGTTATGACTACATAAAGCTCAGAGCATTGGTAAGATTCTATGAAAGAGTTTTGCTATTTTAAATTGAACATGGGGAAAAATGTTGGTCCAAAACTCTTAAAAGATAATTCTCCACATTCAGTTCAATTTGTTTTTGAATAGCCCTAAATCACACAACAGTATCTTGAAGGACTTTACTAAACCGTCGATTTACCAACACAGAACAGAGAATATACCAGTTCAAACACAAGAAATGTAATGATAAAAACACATAGAGCCGATGGTCCATAAGGGGCAGAGAACAATGTCCATAAATGTTGATAAAGTCCATAAATATGAATGTTGAGTGTCTTGGATCATCGCTGCCTTTAAACCCTCTGCATCAGGAAGGAACAACTCTTAAAACCCAGAGGGAGAAAAGTGAGAAACCTCGGGGAGTCCCACATCGAGGGAAGAATCCGCTCACACATGAAACCAACCACAAAGGAAAGAAAACCATTTGCGGTCATAATTTAGAAAACATGTTTGAATCTTTCCCATAGAATGACTTGTATGATTTGTGTGTTAGTTGTTGAGCAAACGGTGAAAGACAAGTTTTTGTTCTTGGCGTGTGTTCAATGTCATTTCCTGTCTGTTGTCTGCTGAATAAAACCTAATTGATTTGGATCAGGTCCAGTCCAAGACAAAGTGCCGCAAACTCGATTCAAGCAGTTACTCCGGCAGTTTGTTTGGTCGGCAGTCTAGTTCCATGATAGAGACGACTTTGGAAAAGCACTGCGGTGGTTCGCTTTCATGAATTGGACGGGACATTATGTAAGTCCTCTTGTGTACGTAAGTCATGTTTATTTATACAGCACATTTTACAGACCGAGGTCACTCAAAGCGCTTTACAATGTTCAGAAATCATATGTTTTCCATTCACACACGGTCATGATGGAAGCGAGACGCCAAACACACTGGACCATTAAAGCCCCCAACCAACACACACCATTCAAACCCATTGCACATGTCAGCCATTCCCAAACTCAGTAACACCGAGGCCCCCTTAAAAATCTGACGGGTCTGCGTGGCCCCCCAAAATAATAACCAAGAAGACAACATTAAGAATAGGCTCTTCTGGTTATTTTATTTTGGGGAAATAGCCTCTGCTACAAACATTGTAATACAAAAATGATTACAGTGGATTATTCAAGTCAAATAATGAACACAAATATTTTAATATTACAAACAAAACATTATAAATTTAACATTAAATAATTATTTTATTTTTTTTATGACCTCCCGCGGCCCCCCTGCAGTACCCTCGCGGCCCACCAGGGGGCCGCGGACCCCACTTTGGGAGACACTGGCACATGTTTTTAGAGGTAGGTTAAACTGGAGCACCCTGGAGGAAACCTATGCAGGCACAGGGAGAACATGTAAACTCCACTCAGAAAAGCCCTGTTCTGACCGAGATTCGAACCCAGGACCCTCTTGCTGAGTAGTGAGAGTGCTAACCAACTTGCTTAGTGCTGTTAATCGTCTAAATAGTATCATACAAAGCTCATTCATTTTCTTTTTACATGACAAAACTAATAATGCATTGGTTTTATACAGTGTTTTTATGGACGCTCAAAGACTGTCCATTGTGGTGATAAACTACTGTTGTAGCCGCAGCTGCCCTGTCCATAACTTTATGCCGTTTTCATGTAGACTACAGTTTTATTACAACTGCAAAAAATCTTAGCTCTCTGTCATTTCTGTTGCGCAAAGTAGCTTTCCAATCAAAGTGTTGGAGACCCCCGATCTGAAAAACATTGTAAAACCAGCCATAACATGTAGCACCACCTGCATGTCAAAGCTACATCCCATCAGACCTCTGAAGCTAAGCAGGGCAGGAGCTGGTTAGTACTGCGATGGGAGACCTCTTTGAACACCTGGTGCCACAGTGGGACGGCTGTGGCTGTAAAGTGCCAAACTGTCATTGTGTCCTTAGGCAAGACACTTCACCCACATGAACCACGCATCGGTAGATCTGTGACAAATATAGCACACATTTTAAAACATAATACACACATTTCTGTTCCTTCACATTCAAAGACATCTGAAATATCGTACTGAAAATGAAAACCATAGCTCTAGCACCTCTGCACACAATCTCCCCAACGTCGAAGCTTTTACCGATTTGGAAATTCTTTGGGAACTTACTTTTCTGGTTAATTAATTTGTGAATGTAATATCTCAGGTTTATATTAGCAGTCCCTGAAGCTCTCCTCACCCATTTCTCCGACCTGAGCATTTGTCATTGTGCTAATTACACCATCAGTCTCCTCCTCAGTCCACCGCTGTCAGCTCGTATCCGGACCCTTGTATTAAAATCCAATTCGCATTATCTCTGGGACCTCCCACACACACGGCTTTCTGACAGAGCAGCAGTGACAGTCTTCTCAATCCTTCAATTCACTTTTGTTTTGACCGATGTTTCAACACAAAAGCTAATGCCGACTGCTACAAAAGCCTCATTAACGGATTAAAAATGTGTCCGCAAATTATAGGACGCATAATGGAAAAAAAGTCCCAATCAAATACATACCCAGTTATTTTCAGCGGCCTCTGTTTTATTATCAGGGCATTTTGTTATACATTCTGCATCTACCCCCCACTCACTAACTGCCCAGTTCTGAATATCTGTGTCTCTAGAATATAACAGTAAATTGCTTAATATGGTAGATACTGAATTATGTGTCCTTTAAACGTCAAGTTTCAAGAGTTGTTTCATATCGATATGATTTGAATAGTTATTATTTGCTTTAATTTCACCGCCTTCATGTGTCCAGGCATTTTAACTCAGGCAACACGTTAAACAGGCAGCACAATAACCGCATAATCCAAGTCCTTAGACCAACAAAAAGGTCTTTTGTGGCACTTTTACAACTTTCTACCAATAAAAACTGTGCATGTGATCCAATAAGACTAAATCCCTCCAAGTCTTGTGCTTGAGCGGCATCCACACACCTTTTACAGTATATCGACCAAAACATTATTCTCACATTTGCATAAGATTACGTCTCGCTTCAAATATTAACAAGATGGCCGCCGTGGAGAAGCCGCTTCAACCACCGCTCCGCACAACAGAAAGGAAATTGCATTTGACATTTGCTGTTCTACTTTGAAAAGCGCTTTGCAATCAATGTCCAAAGTCATTAGCGCGGGACGAGTGGCCGACAAGCACCCAACACCGCTGCGGCAATGGGCGCTAGCGTTAGCATTAGCATATCCATTACATCATCATATCTGCTTGGACGTGCTCCCCGGATTGATTTAATAACGGGATAAGATAGATGATGTCCTCCGAAGTTAGGAGCAATTTGCAAACTTTGAAGGTACAAGTGACAGCTCATAAAAAAGCACCCGATATGGAAATGTGGAATTAAATGTAATAATAAGTTGGGAGAAAAAGCGGCAGTATAAGTTCTTAATCAATCACAGTTTTGACACCAGAAAAGAGTTTTGGCTGCAGGCTACAGAAGTCATTTTCTCACAAGTGGATGGAGAACAGGCGCTGCAAAGGCCATTAGGTGCGTCAAAAAATGCAGATATTTTGGGGAGAAAGCTGAAAGCCGTGGCTCAGTGGTTAGAGCATTGGCCTTAGAGCCTGAAAGTTGTGGGTTCGATCTTCTCACGAGACCTTCTCCTCTGACTCCCACTGATGTCTGGTATCATTGTGTCCTTGGGCAAGACACTTAACCCCACTTTGCCTGAAGCCTGTGGACCCCTGCAGGAGGATCAGTGGGGGGCTGGTGCTCTCAATATTGACATCTGCAAAGTTTCTCACTTTTTCCCACTGGGGTTTTTATTGTCCCCTCATTGATGCCTGAGAGTCTAAAGACAGTAATGATGAAGTTTAAGGATGTTTATATCCCAATACCTATGGACCAATGGACTGTGTTTAATATTATTGCATCTCCCCGTTGAACTGTTTGATTCTCTGATTGGCTGTTGAAAAATGGACTTTGTAAAGTCCACCGAGACGACTGCTGTTGGACTTACTAAAAATTTTAAATTCATTATTACAGTTGATTACAGACACTACAAAGAAGGTTGATTGTCCCGTAAAGCAACTATAACAATGGTATTAATAATAAAAAAAATAAAAAAAATCCCAGTCTCCCCATGACACGTTTGAAAGATGATTGGCTGAAAGATGATTGGCTGAGAGGGATTGGCTGAGAGATGATTGGCTGAAAGATGATTGGCTGAAAGATGATTGGCTGAGAGAGATTGGCTGAGAGAGATTGGCTGAGAGAGATTGGCTGAGAGATGATTGGCTGAGAGATGATTGGCTGAGAGAGATTGGCTGAGAGATGATTGGCTGAGAGAGATTGGCTGAGAGATGATTGGCTGAGAGAGATTGGCTGAGAGATGATGGGCTGAGAGAGATTGGCTGAGAGATGATTGGCTGAGAGATGATTGGCTGAGAGATGATTGGCTGAGAGATAATTGGCTGAGAGAGATTGGCTGAGAGATGATTGGCTGAGAGAGATTGGCTGAGAGAGATTGGCTGAGAGAGATTGGCTGAGAGATGATTGGTTGAGAGATGATTGGCTGAGAGAGATTGGCTGAGAGATGATTGGCTGAGAGATGATTGGCTGAGAGATGATTGGCTGAGAGATGATTGGCTGAGAGAGATTGGCTGAGAGAGATTGGCTGAGAGATGATTGGCTGAGAGATGATTGGCTGAGAGAGATTGGCTGAGAGAGATTGGCTGAGAGAGATTGGCTGAGAGATGATTGGCTGAGAGATGATTGGCTGAGAGATGATTGGCTGGAGGAGGGACAATGTGAAATGAAGTGCTTGAGGGTAAGAGGCACTCATGACTCTTGGAGAGCCTCCAAAGCTTCAATAGCTGTTGGAACATTAACTTGTTCTAAGTGTTTGGGATAAAAGTCAAAGTATATTCACTATGAGGAAGTTATACAGTATCGATATATTTTTCAACTTATAATAATACATCTTTATTTGTACAGCACTAAAACAATGCACAGTCACTAAGTCAAAATGTACTGTTGGTCCTCGCCTTATCTCCTCGGTCATCCCAATCTCACTAAAACGTACTGTTTGGGCCTGTGATTGGTCTGATCTCTGAATAGATAGATAGATCCAAGGCCCAACAACTTTGCTAAGGAGGTTGGGGAAAGGTTGGTCGGGGAACACCCTCAACCTCCAGGACAATACAGGATTACTACAACATGCGTGAAGCCCCTTAAATGCAGCTTTGGGTAAGCTCACACTGTAGGATGAAAACATGTTAAAAGCTCCTAAAAATTGATTTAGCATAAATGCCTTCTTAGGGATAGTGTAAACAAACATACAGCCGCTTTGCAAAGACACCCCTGTTCATAAAGAGCAGTCGGATTTTACGTCGAACGAGGCCCTCTTTGTCACATACAACATTCTTTTTGGGCTCGAGTGTGTCTGGAAAGAGGATCCAGCCGGGCAGGGACCCAACGCAGCGACTGTGGGGAGATTAAACCCAATCCTTAAATCATTTTGCTGAAAACAGTTGATGGATTTTAACTCGGAGAAGAGTCTAATTTAGCGAGGGCCGGAGGCTGTGCGTGTGGCTGCCAGAGCGTCTGCAGTCTGGAAGATAAACAGAACGGTGTCGTCAGTGAGAGGTTAGAGCCGCGGAAAATGGGTCACTTTACCACGTTAGAGAGTAAATCTGCAAAGGAAAATGAGCCCTGCTAAACGATAAAGCAAATGAGAATGTATGTGCGTAAGTAAAATGCTGTGTACATCTCTCGGCAAGTGAATTAAACGCCTGCGAACAGTTTATTTTCTCACATTATCAAACAGCGATAGAAAGAAGGTGAACAGTCTCTAGACACTTCCACTCATTTCCAGAGAGAAATAAGTGGTTTATTGTCAAAGCGGCGCTAACAACGATTTAGAACAAGTCATAATAAAAGCAATGATGTTAAAGCTCTTTTACAGCACTTTTCCAATAACACTTATTATTAAGAAACAACATTTATGGACATTGGTCATCTGCCCCTTATGGACTATTGATGTTTTTTTTCATTGCATTTCTTTCCAGTAGAGAACATTTTTTGGCCCATTTGTTAGAACGGCGTTTTAATGTTGTTTCCTTATTAGTGGTGAGGCAGGACGCGGCGCTGTGTCTTCTGCATTGCCTAGCTCCGCAGGTTAGCTTATTGACAAACTCCCAGGGTAAAAAATCCTGGCTCTCCTGGTCCTGGCTCTCCTGGTCCTGGCTCTCCTGGTCCTGGCTCTCCGGGTCCTGGCTCTCCGGGTCCTGGCTCTCCTGGTCCTGGCTCTCCTGGTCCTGGCTCTCCTGGTCCCGGCTCTCCCGGTCCCTCTGTCTCTGTTCCTCTTGAGAAAGGCGTTCTAACTATTTAGTTACCAGAACAATGTATTCACCTCCTTCAGCCGTAGAGGGTTGAAAATCTAAAACAAGTTGTCGTGCTACACATATTAGGATTTCTGTTTGTTTGTGCTGATCACATGAACGTGTCTCCTATGGGCTGCACCACAGACTATAACTGACGTCTCGTGTATCCAATCAGGAGACACGCTTCCTCGAGGCCAGCAGGCCCTGAACGAGGAGACTTGACGCAGATTGGCCAATGCCACAGGTTCGTTACTCTGTTTATTTGAACATAGAATAGAAAACATAGAATAGTGTCCGCAGCCTGTAATTGTCCATTCTCTCTGTTCTGTAACTGGCAATGCAACAATGACATTTCCCCGCTGTGGCACCAATGAAGGAACTCTTAATCTTAATCTACATTTCCTTCCAAACACATCGGCACAAAGCTCTCCCACAACTCTCACAACCCTCTTCAGCCAACTAATGAAACGTACATTCATGGAGTAAATAGACAGAAAGTCCTGAATAAAGTCAATAATTGAGATTTACTTCTTCGGTGTCTCTCGATTGTATTTTGCTCTTTTAAACTAATTCAAATTCCTCCGTGCTTCTCATCTGTCTCTGATATTTGTGAAAACAGTGCATCAGACAGTGACCTTTCCCTTTTATACAGGCTCTATACTGCCTTGTTTACTTTGATTATCCTGTTCGGACTTCACCGCTGTATCCTTGGAGCGGCCAAAACTGCAGCCAAATGGGTTTGTTACGACTGTGGAAGTGGACGCACTCATAAAAGAAAAGAATCCGCCACCACGACTTCCCCCGAATCACACGGCTAGAAAGGATTCGCAATATTGGTGTTTCGAAAGGATTTTGTTCGATAAATATTACATCTTGTTTCCAATCTCAGCAGAAATAGCCTTGAAAAATGATTCAAAACCGCGCTGTGCTGTGTTTGTCCAATTATTATTATTTTTTGTTGGAACAGGATTGAAGCAAGCGCAAGTTGTGTTTTTCAATCTGGGAGTCAATAAATGATGCATTGGGCTGAGAGCTGATTAACGGAGCAAAAAAACCCATATCTGAGCGAGTAGAATATAGGCCGGAAACATACGATTTATTTCTTCTTTCTGCACCTTTTGACAATTATTGGAAATGTAATTGTTTTATGTGATGTGTTGTCATGTCCACGATTTAAATAAATGAATAAAAATAGTGGTAAAAGAAAAGTCAGTTCTAAAGAGACTGATGGGGGAAAACTCGTGAAGAAGAAGGAGTAAGTTTGATTTAAATATATTTTAATTTTGTGAACCCCTCAGAGCCCCACGTGCTTCCTCCATCTCATTACAATATATGATCTCTGCTGCAGTTGGAAAGAAGTCTGTAAGTCACTGATCTGAGTTCTGAGAGTGAGGAAGTGAGTAATCCTTATGTATATAGCGCCTTTCACAGACCAGAGTCACAAAGCACTTTAAAAATGTTGTGGGCATCTCTCACTCCACACAGAAAAGGGACATATTGTAGTGGTTGGGGAAACCGGAGCACCTGGAGGAAACCTGCGCAGATAGAGAGTGTGACTAGTCAGATGGATTTGTTTGTGGAGAGATATTTCCGTATATCCATACACTGAAGATGCTTGTTGGACAAAAACCTTTCTTTAAGACTGTTACGTTCGGCTCAGCTAGGGAGGGTGAACGCAGCAATACACCAGATGGAATTTGTATCAGTCCATTTTTAAAGTAAGTTTCAATAATGACAGAAAGTAAAATGAATTTAGAAACTAATGAGGAATACAGAAATGATACGAATGATAATAAGAAAACAATGTCACTCTACAAACTAGAGCTCAACAAAACGAAGTGCCAACATAACGGAACAGAACACCACAGGAGGAGCAGTGACAGGTCCAGATGCCCCGAGCTGACGGAGAATGGGAGGTTTTAACGGGGACGCCCTCGTGGATGGATCCCCGGGGCTGGAGGACATCCACACGCAGCTCCCACAACAGCCACTCAGGTGTCAGCCCGGCCACGCCCACTCTCGAGGTTCCTCCAATAGACTGCCCGCACAGATCACCTGTAGAGAGCGAGGCGGCGCACACACAAACACTAAAGGGCAACGGGAGCGCCATGAGGTCGTTGCCCGTAACACTCTCCCCCCTTGCCTCCTCTCCCAGAGAAAACACAAATACACATTGTACAAATCCAGCAAATATGATCTTATTTTTGATTATTCTTTCATTGTCCTTGTCGTTATTACATGTTTATCAGTGGGGAGTGGAAGTGAACGCTGGCATGATTGTTGCCGCTGCTCCCTCCCCCACAAACTGTGATTTATTTATTCCGGCTTGTTGTGTTTTCAACTCGTAAAACTGACATATAACAACTACAGCATCTGGACAAGTTTACGCCTGATATTCTTTCATTTATGGTCGGCGATCTCCTTACCTGTCACTGGTCATCTGTTGGCTACCTGGGCTAACTGCTAGCTTCCCGGTCACCCTGTTGCTGTGGGGCATCATGAACTGGAATGCTGCTATCCTCTGGGCTCTCCTCGGAGGCTTGGTTCTGCTCTCCATAATCCAGCCTGCGTACCTGTCCTTGCGGTACTGTGCAGCAGAACTTCTTCAGCTTCGTCTCCCCCGTTACCATGCGCCGCCCCCTGCAATACTCCAGCATCTGGACATCGCCTGGCCTCCGCGGCAAAAATACGTCCATCGGGGATCCAGAAGAATCAACTGCATTGACACGACGAACCCGATACCTTCTACGTGGTCTTCCTTTCGCCGTCCGGCGAGGAAGCCTGGCAGGCGGACTGTGGATCACAGCCTGCTAGCCCGGCTAGCAAAGGAAGGGAGCGATAGAGCCGGTGACCACCTCGTCTCCGTGGGACAGTTGAACATCAGGTCTCTCAGTAACAAGGGCTATCTTGTTTGCGATCTCCTCACGGACCACAAACTTGATTTTCTTTGTCTGTCTGAGACATGGCAACGTCCTAACGAGTACGCTGAGCTCAACGCTACAACACCACATGGGTTTGTTTACGTCTGTCAAGCCCGTGCCTCTGGACGCGGCGGTGGTCTCGCGATAGTGTACAACGAGAGGTACAGAGCAACTGCAGTCACTACACCGGTCTATAGCTCATTTGAATCACTTGTCATACAGATCAAAGGCCGCATTCCCACAATCCTAGCTGCTGTCTATCGTCCCCCCAAGCCTAATCCCGAGTTTTTAACTGATTTTACAGATTTTTTAGCCACAGTCTGCTCTCTGTCCTCAAATGTAATTTTGGTTGGTGACTTCAATATTCATATGGACAATGTAAACAATACAACTACCAAAGATTTTTCTTCCTGTCTAGACAGTTTTTCATTATCTCAACACGTAAACTCTCCCACACATGTAAAAGGCCATATTCTGGATCTGATTTGCTGCACTGGCATCTCCCCCATTAACATCTCTTTTCTGGACATTCTGGTCTCTGACCACAAGCTTATTTCATTTGGTCTCAACCTGCCACTGTTCAAAACATCTTCTACCCGTCAGATCACATTCAGAAATATAAAAAACATTAATCTCTCATCACTTACCACAGAACTAAATAATCTCCCAAGCCGAGATAACATGGTCACTCCACAGGAACTCACTTCATTTTATAATAATGAACTCCATCAAATTCTGGACTCCTTAGCACCATTAAAAACAAGAACTGTATCCTTCTCCCTCTCTTCGCCATGGTTTACTCAAGAGCTGCATGAACTGAAATCTATTGGTCGCCGTCTTGAGCGTCTATATCGTAAAACTGGACTGTCAATACATAAGGAAATGTATCACTCCCATCTAATCACTTACAAGAACACTATTGCCAATACTAAGTCTAACTACCTTGCATCAATTATAAATACCAATTCAGGCAACTCCAGAGCACTCTTCTCTTCTATGCGCAACATTCTACATCCACCTGACGCATCCACTGCCACCACACACTCACCCGCTCTTTGCAATAAATTCTTGGACTTTTTCAATTCTAAAATAATTAATATCCATCAACAACTCTCTTCATGTGATCCATCCGTTTGCACTCACTGCTCATCCCTATTCCTGACCAATCCCTCAACTCTCTCCACGTTCCAACTTCCAACTGTGCCGGAAATACACTCTCTGATATCCAAATCGAAATCTTCTACCTGCATACTTGATCCCCTGCCAACTAATCTTGTGAAATCCTGTCTTCCATCGCTCTCTCCCCTCATTACCAACATAATTTATGCATCCCTCACCACTGGTTCTGTTCCACCTATTCTCAAAACAGCAGTTATAACGCCAATTCCCAAAAAAGCTGGCTCAGATCAGACCGATTTCAACAATTTTAGACCAATATCCAACCTCCCGTTCATTAGCAAGATTTTGGAAAAGTCAGTTGCCTCACAGATCCAAAACCATCTCGCAAACAATAATCTTTATGAAAAATTCCAATCCGGATTTCGTTCATCCCATAGCACTGAAACAGCACTCATCAAAATAACAAATGACCTTCTTTTAGCAGCAGACTCTGGACTCCTCACCATACTCATTCTCCTGGATCTCACAGCTGCTTTTGACACAATCTCACATCCAATCCTCCTCAACCGGCTCACCTCCATTGGCTTATGCAATACAGTACACTCATGGTTCACCTCATACCTTTCTGACCGTTCTCAATTTGTCCAACTCCAAAATCATAAATCGAAACTCTCCACTGTCACGGGCGGTGTGCCCCAGGGCTCTGTCCTGGGGCCATTGCTTTTTATTATCTACCTCCTCCCTCTCGGCAATATATTCAGAAAATACAACATTAACTTCCACTGTTACGCGGATGACACCCAGCTCTACCTCTCCTCCAAGCCCACGATCACTCTCCCCCCTTCAGCCCTCTCTGATTGTCTTAATGACATTAAAATCTGGTTTTCCCACAATTTCCTCAAACTCAACTGTAATAAAACAGAATTCCTCCTTGTGGGATCCAAACATACACTCACTAAATCCAATAATCTTTCCATCACTGTTGATAACTGCACCATCCCCCCTTCCCCTCAGGTTAAGAGTCTGGGTGTCATCCTCGACAGCACCCTTTCCTTCACAGCACACATAAACAACATCACCCGGTCCGCCTACTTCCATCTCCGCAACATCAACCGTCTACGTCCGTCTCTCACCCCTAACAGCACAGCTACACTGGTTCATGCCCTGGTCACATCCCGTCTTGATTATTGCAACTCACTCCTTTATGGTTTACCAAACAAATCCCTCCATAAACTTCAAATGGTCCAGAACACAGCAGCACGCATCATCACCAAAACTCCTTCTGCCCAGCACATCACTCCTATTCTCAAACAGCTTCATTGGTTACCTATTCTCTCCCGTATTGAATACAAAATTCTTCTTCTCACCTTCAAAGCACTTCATAACCTCGCACCTCCATACTTGTCTGATCTCCTTCAGACGTACACACCCTCCCGCCCACTCCGCTCCTCCTCTGCCTCTCTACTCTCTGTCCCTCCAGCCAAAATGTCCACCATGGGCCTCAGAGCCTTCAGCCGCTCTGCCCCCAAACTCTGGAATAATCTCTCACAAGACACTCGTGCAATAGACTCCATCACCACATTTAAATCTCGACTCAAAACTGAGCTATTCAGACGCACCTATCCCACATAATCCTCCGTACTTCTCTTATCTCTTTGCCACTCTACTGTATTTTACTTCTGGGCCTCGTATTGTATTGTATCTTTTGTATTTTAATGTGTGTTGTATATTGTTTTTATGCTGCCTGTAAGGTGACCTTGGGAATTTTGAAAGGCGCCCACAAATAAAATGTATTATTATTATTATTATTATTATTATCATTCAAAACGTTAGTGAATAAGTCAATAGTTGTAGTCAAGTGTCTTATAGCTACAAAAACTGTCAAAATATTAAGTCCATAAACTCTGCTTTGACAACAGCCCAACTCTATTACAATAAAAATACAAATATTGGCCATTTCAGTTTTAAAGTTGCAGCGTCCAAAGAACTAGAGCAAAGTACCGTCTTATTGTCCGGAAATGACGATATTTACAATGAAATGGCCTGTATCTGAATATCTAAGTCCAAACAGATTAAACTTCAAGGATAAAGCATGGAACTTCTGGAAAACGGGTCAAAAGGTAGAGTTTAGCTTCTTAAAGCAAGAGACTGTCTTTTATTTATGGTCTGTCTTTTTTATTCATTTGACCCGAGGAAATTGTTCAGCCCAGAAACTCAACATCAGAACATATGATGGATACGTGTCAAAATGGCGGCGACTGTCTCTTTCCTTCGTGAGTTTGATGTTGAGCTGAGACGACTCTATCCCCGACCGTACATCAGCAGAGAGCCAGGGTTACGCTCGAGGTTACCCTGAGCACTGGTTCGGGTTATGAGCCGTCGTAAAGGCCGGATCATAGCAACACAAGCGCACCTTCAGACGACTGCAGTGAAAGAGGTGAGAGGAAGAGAGTCCAATACTGCAGGTAAGTAATCTTTATTTATTTATATACCGCCTTTTCACTGCAGATCTGAGTCTCAAAGCGTTTTACAATTGTCAATTTTTGGGCATTTGTCTCTCACTCCACACAGAGATGGGAGGGGCCAGTACAGGGGGCACATGCTAGAACTATTGGACATATTTTTAGTGGTAGGGGAAACCGGAGTACCCGGAGGAAACCTACGCAGACACGGGGAGAACATGCAAACTCCACTCAGAAAGGCCCTTGTCCGACCGGGATTCGAACCCAGAACCTTCTTGCTGAGAGGCGAGAGTGCTATCCACTCAGCCACCGTGCCAGGTAGCTACTTCCTTTGATTTGTCGCCTGTTTTTTGCATTTATTTTGTTTGCAGCTTATAGTTAATTGCAGTCTGTGATTTTCTTATTGCTATTCTGTAATTGGGGCGACAGTGGCTCCGTTGGTAGAGCATTGGCCTTTGAGGTCGTACGTTCGAGTCCACCGCGAGACCTTCTCCACTGATGTCTGCTGTCGTTGTGTCCTTGGGCAAGTCACTTAACCCACTTTGCCTCTACAGTAAGGAGCGCGGAACTTGTTAGCTGCATGTTTATCTGTGTATTCATCAAATCTGTAATTAAAAGGACCTTCTTCTTAATTGCGTCCTGGGTTTGAATCCCGGTCGGAACAGGGTCCTTCTGAGTGGAGTTTGCATGTTCTCCCCTTGTCTGCTTAGGTTTCCTCCGGGTTTCCCCTACCACTGAAAACATACACACTAAGTAAAATCCTCCAGCTGTGGTCCTGACCACGAGCATCAACATCTGGAGATGGGTTCCCGGGCGCTGTTACTACGGCGACCACTGCTCCTGACAGAGGCTCGAGGGCATCAGGATGGGTCAAATGCAGAGGATGATTGCTTGACCGCTCGCAGACTCCTCGCAGACTCCTCGCAGACAGCCCACCAAGGAGACACCACACAAGGGGCAACGCGTTTCCCTGTCGCTGCTTGTGCTGCTGCTGCTTTATAAATAGGAAATGTTTAGCATTTCAAAGAGTTGGGGGGCAAGGGGAGCAGTGGAGAAGGGGCGAGTGTGTGAACGGGCTCAGATGTCAGGCTCCATCAGCGTAAGGCCTTTGTAGTCACTGGAGAAGCTGCTGAACAAGTCGCCGGGACTCTTTAA